TTCAGTTTCATCACTGTCATAAGACGAATCAAATTCATCGCTAGGTACAGACGCCTCATCTGTAAAACTCTCTTCATGACCGCTATGTTGGCCACAAAAATTTCATTTGCTTATTCTACGAAATATATATATACATATTATATACACATACATATGTGTATATATATTATATACTGTATATACATATATATATACACGCACATATATGAGCTAGATGCTGAGAAAAAGGCCCAAATTGACAATTTTTTCAAAAACCTTTTTTTAAACTTAATTAATCCAAATTGACTCAGGAACATTTTTTTATTCAAGAACAAATATTGTTATCTTAATAAAATTTTGCAGTATAACCCTTTAAAGTTTGTTTTTTCTTATAATTTATTATAGAATTTGTAATATAAAAATCAATTTTCCGCAAAAAAAATTTTTTTTGGTTAATTTGGGCCCTAGCCCATATATACTAAAAAATTTTACATTGAGCTTTTTTTGGAGATCGAAATATGGAAAAGATGGGATTTTAGGACACGTATAACGATAAGTTTGAAGATCCTACTAAAATTTAATTTGTTCACATTACTGCATTAAGAATGCCACATGAACAGTCATCAAGATGATCATATGATGTGGTGGCTTGGTAAGAAATCTATATAAGACCCCTGGATTTTATAGATCTGCATATGTATTTAACTCTCACATCTGTTCGTCGCGTATCATTATTTCTCGTCGCGTTACTGTTGGGATAATAAACTTCGTGAGTAACGATGAAATTCCGTTAAGAAAATTTGGAATTACCAATACTTTTGAAAAAAAACCGTATTTGTCCACCTTTATTTTAAAGCATATTTATTCCGATCGTCGAATTGAACTTTTTTTACAGAATTTTGCAAAACAATATCTTGCTTATAATTATTAAAAAACTTGAATATCGATTATTGCTCAACAAGCTTGCTTTCTTTCTTTCTTTTTTTTTTTGTCTATTGTTACAATATGAGCTATTATCCGTATGACCTTATTTATCCAGAATTAAGAGAAGAAAATTCACGAACGATAAGTATGTGGAATAACTGTAATTAACCAACATATGTTTAAGACAAACGTGCTTTATGGCATACTAAATTTCTAATGAATTTTAAGCAAATACTCGGACACAGAAAAAACAAGAATTAGAATCGGATGAAGAGAGTTTTACAGATGAGGCGTCTGTACCTAGCGATGAATTTGATTCGTCTTATGACAGTGATGAAACTGAA